GGGAATTTCATTTTTTTCTTCTGTTCATTCACTACTCCCCTCCCCCTCCACTTTTGGACTGAGTTTTTTATTCCCTTCTGCTTTTCTCACTTCATTCCATAGAAGTTATATATTCTATTCTTTGGTCTTCCTTTAGTGAGTAATCCAGTTTTTAAAATAAGTTCAAACTTAATTTTGAATAATACAGGGATCCTTGAATGCTTTATTGCCCATTGCCTTCTGCCAATTCATGCCATTTTTGTTCATTTTTTAAGTTTTTATATATCTCAAATCAACACCGCAAATTACACTTTTTGATTCTTTGGTTTATTCAGTCAGTAGATATTTAGAATAGTTCCCTATTTTATCAATTCCTTTGCTTGTTCATGCCTTCATTCTGGACTATTTTCCTTTTCCCTGATGTATAGCCATTACAAGTTTATTTGGTGAGTTTAAAAACTCTCAGAGTTTACTTGTCTGACAGTCGTTTAAATTTGCCATTGTTCTAGAAAGTTAGTTTGATTGGTCTAGGTGTTTAAAAGAACAAAGGTTGGAAGAGTGTTTTTTTAAAGGGCCAATAATAAGTATTTTGAAATTTGTGGGCCTTACAATCTCTCAAGGAACTCGGCTACACAGTTTGTATTGTCTACAGAAACACTGTAACATTGAGAAATCAAATTATTTTAGTGTAATCAGGAAACTCGGAGTACAGAGCAGGTGGCCCAATGCAAAGGTTTTTTTTAAAGCTACGAATTAAAACAGACACTTCTTATTTTTCTGGTGCAGGTCCCTGTGATGTATCTAAGGGTGGATTTATTTTCATTTAACCTGGTCAGAATTAGTTGAGTATCCAGAATCTAAAGATTAGTGTCTCTCATTACTTCTGGAAATTTTCAGCCGTTTTTTTTTGTTTTTTTTTTTTGTTTTGTTTTGTTTTTTTTTTTTTGCTCATATCATATCAAACATAGGAGGTAGAAGAATCCATTTGAAGATTTTCAGCAAAGTTATAATGTAAAGATATTATGTGTTATATTATTTAATATGATGTATTCCTTAAAAAAACTCCTTCCTAGTATTGAGTGCTAGATAATTTCTATGTAGATAGCCTCATAAACTCCCTTTTATTTTTTTAACTTAAAAAAAATATTTTATTATTATTTATTTTTAGACAGGGGGGAAGGGAGGGAGAAAGAGGGAGAGAAACCTCAATGTGTGGTTGCCTCCTGTGTGCCCCCTACTGGGGACCTAGCGCACAACCCAGGCATGTGCCTTGACTAGGAATTGAACCGGCCACCCTTTGGTTTGCAGGCCAGCACCCAATCCACTGAACCATACCAGCCATGGCACTATTTTTTTTAACTCTTTAATTTTTAAACCAACAACCTTTTAATATAACTCAAGTATGTAGAATATTGTACACTGTAAAAGATCTAGAAAACTAGAGCTTCAAGTCTTGTTTTTAAAAAGCCATTAAGCCTAAGTGAAAAACCAAGTACAGAGTACAAACTGCAATAAGGGCCATGGTGATTCCATGCCATTGACACCCCAAGTCCTTCACGTAGAGCAGTGGCCTCAGTCCGTGTATATCACACTAATCTGTTGCGTGGACACAGGCATGTCCAGCCTAGGGGTGGGGTGGGGTGGGGAGCTGCATCTGAGTTCTCTTGTTATTTGCGTATTCTCGACTGGGATCAGCTGCATAAGAGCAAGAACCAGCTGGTCCAAAGGATTAAGTTGAAACATCCCTTCCCCCCACTCTACTCCCAACCCTTAACTTCTGAGTTTTGGTTCTTCCTAGGAACTGTGCTGAGCCCTTGTAAGTTGACTGTTAAGCATTGTTCATGGTAGGGCCTTACAGCTTGGTCTAGTGGGGGTGACTTTTGAAGCCCTCTCATGTACTGCTTTCTCTCATTTCACCGTGTGCTACAGATGAGGCATTTAGCTGACCTTCTCTCACTATCCCTGCTGATCTGCCCCTCATGGAGATCTCATAGTCAGTTGCTTGAAATATTCTGGAAGATCAGCATATTCATTTCCATGGCAGATGACCTTAATCCTTTGTCTAGCATGCTTTTGCAGAGCTTCTGGAACTCATCTACATCTCTCCAAGTCTACATCAAATGTTGCTAAGTCAGATTTATGATTGATGGCCTTCAGAAAAAGGGCTAGGAAAATGGTGTCATCCACAGTCGAGTCAAAACCCAGGAAAAGAAATAACTTGATTTTACAGAGTTTCTGAATCTCTTGTAACTTGAGTATTCTTGAGCACATTCTGATACCCAGCTGGATGGAGGACATGCCGCTAGGGTTCATGTATACCCTATGGATGTGTAACATGCTCAGCTTCCACTTCTCTTGAGCCCATTCTAGGACATTTTTTTTTTTTTATCAATAAGGTCAAGGGATTTGATTGTTGAAATTTGTAGTCAATACCAGGGCTCCATTTTCCATCAGGTGGAGAACTGACTGGAATAGCTATTTTCCAGAGTCTCCCATCTTTGACTCCAAATCATCAAATATTTCATATAAGCAGTCCTTAAAGTCTGGTGTGGTTCAGTGGATTGAGTGCCCACCTGCAAACTGAAAGGTTGCCTGCCGGTTTGATTCCTAGTCAGGGCTCGTGCCCGGGTTGTGGGCCAGGTCCCTGGTTGGGGTGTACTAGAGGCAACCGATTGATGTTTCTCTTGCACAGTGTTTCTCTCCTGCTGTGTCCCTGCCTTCCCCTATCTCTAAAAATAAACAAATAAAGTCTTTAAAAAACAAAAATAAACAGTTCTTGAAAAACATGGCTTGAACATTACTAGTATGAGGAGAGAGTTTCTGATAAAGGTCATGGGCAACATGAATGAGATTCTTGTCTTCATGGAGATATTTCTGAAATTTTTTGCTCTCTTCATCTTCTATTTTTTTATTTTTAGAGAGAGGGGAAGGGAGGGAAAAAGAACATTGATGTATGAGAGATGCACCAATCATCAGTCAGTTGCCTCTGGCATGCCACCAGCTGGGGACCTGGCCCACAACCCAGGCATGTGCCCTCACTGGGAATTGAAATGGTGACCTTTTGGTTTCCAGGCCGACACTCAATCCACTGAGCTACACCAGCCAGGGTGTCTTCTCATCTTCTAGAAGATCAAAATCAGTGGCAGCATTCAGTAAGGGCTGAATTAACCCCTTCTAGGATATCAGGCTGGGAACCTGAGGTACAACTGCAGCATTAATGCTGGTTCCAGTCGCTGGCATATATTTCTAAGGCTTCTGACTTTTAAATCTTGGAAGCAGGTTCCTGGGCTTTTTGGTTGGTGGGGGGGGTGGAGGGCACCATCACTGAAGAATCCAAAAATCTTGTCTGTATCAGAGGCCTGGCTCCTGTAGAAGCTCTAGTTTCGTGCAAAGAATGAGAACTTCATTGTCACTACTTTCCCTGCTGTGAAGCTTCTGAGAAGGTGTCTGCTCCAAAGACTGCAGCTTATTTTATAAGCTAGCATTTTATTAAAGCTAACATTTTTTTGTGGTTTAGTTGCTGAGAAGTATAGCATTAAGCATACTACTAATAATATGTAGTGTCCAAGAACTTAGTACATTTTATTTGTGCACATTTTATCATGGATCATGATTATACATTAAAAATACATGTAAGTATTTCTTTTTTTTTTTTTTTAAAGATCTTATTTATTTTTTGAGAGAGAGAAAGTGTTGGGAAACGCCCTATCTGGTTTCAGGAACTGTAACCCTGCTGACAGGCTGGAGGACCCCAAGGTTGGAAATAATCAGGGAGGCCTTAGAGAAACAGGTCCCTGAGGAGACATAACCTGTCCCCCCGGCAGGGGCGTAGTTCCTGCCTCTCTGCCATGTGATGATTGGTGATCGATGACGGGTAAGTTATCTTGAGCTGAGATGATAACCTAAGACAGATATCAATTGGGTATTGGGCGCAGACAAGAAATTGGGGGACACGGAGAAAGGGCAAAAAGGCCCGGACCCCTCAGCTCGGCTTAGACATGGCCGGAGACCTCATTCTATCCAAAAGAAGTCTCCTTGTCTCTTGGTGGATCCCTCCCCTCTCCTGGCTCAGACTTGAAACAATACTGGAGTCAGTCGTAGACCAGATCTGGCTGTTCCCAGGGAAATAGGCCTAAAAGTAAATTCTGTAAAGCGTGCTTTGTTCTTCCCTCAGAAGCTACAGCCAGCTCATGCTGGGAAGGAAATTTGCGTTATTCACAGACTCTAACTCTATATATACCCTTAGGCACTCTTAGGTTTACTATGCTTTCATGTTTAGTTGTCTCTCTTGTTTACTAGTCTCCGCTTGGACCCATGTAAATCAGTGTGTTCCTGCCATTTGTTTTCTTCAAAACATCACCCACTCTCTGTGAACATTAACATACTGATGTAGTGAGATAACCTGTGCATTCCTATTACCTAGCCCCACTGATAACCTTTTCAATAAAAGCCTTTGGATAAAGGGGCTCAGGCAGCTTCTTGACTAAGGGAAGTGCCCCTGTCCCCTCTCCTGGTAAACAGAGAAGTGTTTGTGACGACTTGGGTTTATGCCCCATACCCATGACAACCCTGGGACGGGCTCTGTGGGATTCAGAGCCCTGCTCCCTTCTCAGCTGGCCCCTGATGGTAACCCTCAGATCCCAGAGTGCTGTGCTCCCCGAGATGCTCTCCATCCCCCTACGCTACAGGAAAGGGAGGGGCAAATAGAGGAAGAGAAATGTCATTGTGTGAGAGAGACAGTTGCCTTTCGCATATCCGCAACTGGGGACCTGGCCCACAACCCAGGCATGTGCCCTGACTGGGAATTGAACCAGTGACCTATTGGCTCACAGGCCGGCACTCAGTATTTATATATTAAAAATATGCATTTTTATGTTATTGTTTGACATTTGTTTTTCAAACTATATTCAAAATAATTATTTGTACCTATATGCAGTTGATGGATTGCATGATTGGAGAGCTACTTACTGATGATTGTTATTGGAATAGTGGTGTTTTAACAGAGACTTCTTTCATTTCAGAGAACTCAATTTCCTGCATCTGCTGAATCTCAAAACCCCCAGCTAAAGAAAGGTCTGTACGCAATTTCATTGTATGTGTATGTTTGCAGATTTCTTTTATTATTTTTTTGTTCTAATCTATATGCGTAGAGCTTTTAAAAATGTGATTGTTGACAAAAGCACTATTAGTGTAAATGTTTTGCCATATTTAACTTTTATTTTATGGAGTTGTTAGATATTAGGGTATTGATTTTACCTATAAATGTGTTTAAGTGGAGTTTTTTTATTATGTGAATGTGTACTAATTTTGTACTCATGGAAAAACACTCTAAAATACCCCTAAGTACATATCAGGCCTCAAATAATCTCATGTAATTTCTAAGTAAGTGTGAAGTGTTATAAATATTAAATGTGGGAAGCCTAACTTGGTAAGCACCTATACTGTAAAGAACTGCATTTTACACCCTGATAGGGATCTGGTATATACTTTATTTAGAGGAACAGGATTCCTTCATTTGTTAACCTATAGTCTGTTTTAGGAGTGTTTGCATCCGGTGTAGGTGACTACATGTATTGGATCTTCTCCCACACCTGAACTTTTTATTTAGCAGAAGACACCATTTATTTTATTATTTATTCATTTTTTTCTAGATAAGGAAACCAAGGCTGAGAGGAAGGAGTATGTCCTAGTCACAGTCTTATGTGTTACTCTTTTCTGCACATCTGAGTATAGTCATCAGGCTATACTTCCTTTGCAGCATGTGCTTTCTTGTTGTCTGCTAAGAGTTTAAAGTTGATTCTGTTAATAAATTGTTTAGTTTACTTGGGGCATTTCTGTTACTATTTAAAATTATAATGCAAGTTGTAGGAAAATATGATCACCTCTCAGGAATTTCTTTTCAAAGAGTTTTTTAAGAACACATCTTTCACTGAAAAATCAGTACATCTGTAATTTAGATTATTTGTGAAATTTAGACATAATTCTGCCAATTTTTAACATAATTGCTAATATTTTTTATACCATTTCTGGGCATGAGAATCATCTTTCTGTGATATCTGTCACTTCATTTAATTACCATGGTGATTTGACTAGTTAGGTGGGGCTAGTGGGTGTTGGGAATGTATCTCCAATATTCTTTCCACACTTCCATCAGAGTCAAACACAGAGGTTCCATTGATTGCCAGACCAGGAGAACTGTATTTAGTACACACCAATCAAGAATTGGCCTGTGCCCAATACAGGCTAATGAGATTACAAAGTTTATAGCTATGAGGAAAAAGGACACATTTATATGTTATGCTATAAAATTTAACAGTGTTTTAGTGCCCCTTGGAATCAGTTCTTTCTCCCTTCCCCCACTGCAGAGCAACCACTTTTCTATTTCTGTTATTAAAGTTTAAACTTTCTTGTTATTGAACCCCTCATTGGAATCAGTTCTTTCTCCCTTCCCCCACTGCAGAGCAACCACTTTTCTATTTCTGTTATTAAAGTTTAAACTTTCTTGTTATTGAACCCCTCATAAATATGAGTACTTGCCAGGTTCCAGAACCAGTGATAGGTGTTTGGAATATAAAAATAAATAGGGCATGGCTTCTGCCCTCAGGGAGCTGACAGTCTTCCGGGTATATAGACTGTAAGCAAATAATTAAAGTGCAGTGTATGCTTCCTAGGTTGTTTCTTTTGAAGGTTAAACACTTTCAGTTTCTTCTACAATCTTCACATGAGATGTTTAGAAATCCTTGCTATTATTGCTTTGGTCCTGTGATGAAATGTGTTGGCCCTCTTGGAAGTAAAGAAATCAGGACTACACTGAGTATTTCAGGTACAATGGGAATAGGGCCATGTGGAACATCTAGAAGATAAAATCTCTTCATCTGGATCTTTTATTTCTGTTAGCCCAGCTCAAGGTTGCATTGCCTTTTGGGCACTCATTTTATACGTTTGCAGTACAACTGTATTGCACAGTGGCAGGAGTACCATTCGTGTAAAATACAATGACTGCAATAAGAATGATTTGCCTGTGGAGTTATGCAAGGTGGTGACACAGTCCACTAAAATACTGAAGATATAACATGCTCTTAATCTGCACTTAATTTCTGGCTTTCATAACCCCTAATTTTATCTATCAATACAGTGGATTACATTGAGTTTTGGAATGTTGTGTCATCCTTGCATTCCTGGGATAAATCTCACATGGTCATGATGTATTAACCTTTTTTATATGTGGCTTGATCCAGTTTGCTAATATATTTTTTTAGATTTTATTTATTTTTAGAGAAAGAAGAAGGGTGGGAGAGAAACATCAATGTGTGAGAGAAGCGTCGATCAGTTGGCTCTCATACGTCCTCAACTGGGGAGCTGGCCTGCAGCCCAGGCATGTGCCCTGACTGGGAAGCAAACCAGGGAACTTTTGGCTCACAGGCTGGTGCTCAATCCACTGAGCCATACCAGCCAGGACTAAATTGCTAATATTTTGTTAAGGACTTTTGCATTTATGTTCATAAAGGATATTGGCCTATAGTTTTCTTCTTTTGTGATACTTTGTCTCTGGTGTCAGGGCTTTGCTGGCCTCGAACAAGTGGGGAACTATTGCCTCTTCTATTTCCTGGAAGATTTTGTATAGAATAGGTGTTCTTTCTTTCTTTCTTTCCTTTCTTTCCTTTCTTTTTTTCTTTATTATTTATTTTTGAAGAGAGTTGGTAAGCGGGGGAGAAGGAGAGGGAAAGAAACACCAATGTGTGAAGAAACCTTGATCAGTTGCATCTCAGATACCCTGACTGGAGACCAAGCTGCAACCCAGAGGAATCAGCCTGCCCCCTTTCCCTCTGCCAGGTGATGCCCAACCAACTGAGCTACACCAGTCAGGGCTTGGTGTTAATTTCTTTCTTAAATGTTTGCTAGAATGTGACCATGAAGCAATCTAGACCTGGAGTTTTGTTGGTTGGAAAGTTTTTAAGTACAAAGTCAATTTCTTTAATATATGTGAGACTCTTAAGGTTATATACTTCTTTAGAGAGAGCTTTGATAATGTTTTTCTTTCAAAGAAATTTGTCAGTTTCATCTCAGTTATCAGATTTATTGGCATTATGTTTACAGTACTCCTTTATTTTCCTTTTAGTATCTGTAGGATGTGTAATGGTGTCCCTCTATTATTGCTTTAGGTGATTTTTGTCTTCTCTTTTTCTTGATTAGTCTGGTGGAAGGTTTATACATTTCATTGATCTATTCAAAGAACTAGCTTTTGATTTTATTTTTCCCCTCTTTTGCTTTTCTATTTAAATTTCATTGGTTTCTGCTCTTATCTAATTTTTTCTTGTATTTAATTTGCTCTCCTTTATTCAGTTTCTTAAGGTAGAAACTTAGATCATTGATTTGAGATCTTTCTTTTTTTTCTGTTGTAAACACTTAGTATTTTATACGTCCCTCTAAACACCGATCACCTGGTTCATACACATTTCACGTGTTATGTTTTAACTTTTATACAACTCTTTTTTTATTTTTATGCTAACCTGAGGACATTTTTTAATTGCTTTTTGGAGAGAGAGGAAGGGAGACAGAGAGACATTGATGTGAGAGAGAAGCATTGATTGGTTGTCTCCTGTATGCACCTGGACCGGGGAACATACATCCCCAGGCCAGGGATCAAACCTGCAACCTAAGTATGTGCCCTGTCCAGAATTGACCCTTCACCCTTTGGTTACAGGGCAATGTTCCAACCAACAGCCACACTGTCCAATGCACAACTCTTTATTTTTAAATTAAGAATAACTTTTTAATATCACCAAATTGTCATTGTTCACATTTCCTTGATTGTCTTATAAATTAAATATATAGTTCTTAATATTTAAAAATTTCCTTTGTGCTCCCCTTTGACCATACACTATTAAGAAAAGCATTGATTAATGTCCGTATATTTGGAGATGTTTCCAAGTATCTTTTGTTACTGGTTTCTAGTTTAATTCTATTATGGTTAGAGAACATACTTAATTTTTTTTAAAGATATTTTTATTCTTATAGAAAGATGGGAATGGAGGGAGAAAGAGAGGGTGAGAAACATTGATTTGTTGCCTTTAGTACACGCCATGATCAGGGGCTGAAACCACAAACTAGGCATGTGCACTAACCAGAATCTAACTGGCAACCTTCTGGCAACCAACTGAGCCACACTGGCTAGGGTTTAAAACATACTTTCTGTAGTTTGTTTTATGGCCCTGAATGTGGGCTGTGTTGGAGAATGTTCAATGTACCGTGAATGTGTATTCTGCCCCTGTTGAATGGTGTAGTCTGTAAATGTCAATTAAGTCCAGTTGTTTGAGAGTGTTGTTCTTTTGTGTACTTACTGATATAGTTATTAATATCCTTACTAATAGTAAATGCTGATATCGCTAATGAGAGGAGTATGGAAGTATGCAAATGTAATTATGGATTTGTCTTCTACTTTCAGTTCTATCAAATTTTACTTTGTATATTTTGAAGATCTGTTGATGGATGCATATACGTTTAGGATTATTTGACTTCTTGGTGAATTGACCCTTTTATCATTATGTAATGTTCCTCGCCTATTCCTGATATTATTCCTTGTTTGATAATAATGTAGTTTTTCCAGTTTTGTTTTGACTAGTATTTGCACGGTAATTGATGTATAGTTTACGTACTTTAAAATTCACTTTTTTTAGTATAGAGTTCTGGGAATTTTGACAAAGGAAAATGATCATGTAACTACCACCACAATCAACATAGAGCAGCTTAATCACTTTCCAAAACTCATTTTGACTTTGTAGAAACCACTTCTTCCACTTCCTATTGCTTGCAACCGTTAATCTTTTTTTCTTCTTCTTATAGTGTTACCTCTCCCAGAATGTCATAGAAATGGAGCCATACATTATGTAAATCTTGAGTGTCCTTTTTTTTTTTCATTCAGCATAATGTTTTTGAGTTATCTATGTTGTTGTATGTCTGAGTTTTTTAAATTGATGAGTAATATTAAAATCTTTCCACACAATTTATTCATCCATTCACCAGATAAAGTTTTCTGGTTGAGTTTTTTTGTTTTTTGTTTTTTGGCTGGATGG